GCAGTTTATTTCAGGGAGCTCCACGCTGACACGTTAATGGAAGACGGTGCCAGACTCTGGGTAAGAATAAAAGTGATTGCATGGCTTGAGATGAAGGTGGTTGCTTACACAAGATAAGCCCTGGGTTTCATTCTAGAAGTGATCTAATCGGCTGCACATCTAAGAGAGAAATGCAAATGGGTGAAGAGCAATGTAGAATCCATTAGGAGGGAAGCCTGGGTGGCTCAGCGGGTTAACCCTGCCTTCAGCCTGGGTATGATCCTGGAGACCCAGGATCGAGTCCCACATCAGGCTCCCCGCATGGAGCCTGCTTCTCCCTCTGCCTGTGTCTCTGCCTCTCTCTCTCTCTCTCTCTCTCTCTCTCTCTCTCTCTCTGTGTGTGTGTCTCTCACGAATAAATAAATTAAAAAATCTTAAAAAAAAAAAAGAATCCATTAGGAGAAAAGAGGAGGAAGGTAAAGTGGTTTGGGACTGTCTTTAATAAATCTCTTGAGGGTATATTTTGCAAATGGTGGAAAATCCAATGCAAACTAGCTTGAGCATATGCAACTTTTGTCATCTTACAAAACTAAAGAGTCTATGGGGTTGCCTGGGTGGCTCCACTGGTTGAACATCTGGCACTTGGTTTTGGCTCAGGTCATTATCTTACGGGTCAAGCCCCATCTTGGGCTCCAATGTCAACACAGAATCTGCTTACAATTCTCTCCCTCTCCCTCCCTCTGCCCCTCCTTCCCCTCTCTAATAAATAAATAAATAAATAAATAAATAAATAAATAAATAAATAACTTTAAAAAAAATTAAGAATCCTGTGGGAGGGCTCTCCAAGCAGGCTCTGACCCAATTTCTCTGCTGTTCTCACATCTCCCTTCCACTGTTTGTTGGCTTCTTCCTCACACTGGTTTTCCTCATGGTCACAGGATGGCTGGCAGGACATGTGTGGCTGCAGGCCTCCTCCTTCTCATGGTAGGGAGTGAGGGAAGGTGAGGGAGGGGGAACAGCTTCCCACAACCATCAAAGCTTCACTCTGAACGGACCAACCCGGCCAGGACCTGATTGGCTTAGGCGGATGATCCACATATGTGGAGTTTAGGTACCAAACTACCTAAACTTTAAGGGACCACACAAGGAGAAGCTGAGTGTGGTTAGAAAGGAGAGATGTGTTAAAACCAATGGCATTGGGATCCCTGGGTGGCGCAGCAGTTTAGCGCCTGCCTTTGGCCCAGGGCGCGGTCCTGGAGACCTGGGATCGAATCCCACGTCGGGCTCCCGGTGCATGGAGCCTGCTTCTCCCTCTGCCTGTGTCTCTGCCTCTCTCTCTCTCTCTCTGTGTGACTATCATAAATAAATAAAATAAAAAAAATTAAAAAAAACTAATTGTTAAAAAAAAAAAACCAATGGCATTTAGGAATAGCAAACAATAGGACTATTTGAGAAGAGCTTACTAGAAATGTATCAGATGTATGAGCAGGGGAGAGAAAAACCATGAGACTGAGGCAGTGCCCTGGGCTCCATGATTGCCTGTAGACATGGCGGATGGGCTAGGAAAGGACATGGTCACTGAAACTGGTATCAGAGGGTCCTGTGGCCCTGGTCAAAGAAGCAGCCAGCTGGTGGAGACTCTGATGACAGACAGCTGAGAAACGAATGCCCAGACCCCACTTTCTTCCTTCACTCCATCACCTACCCGGCTTCCCATTGTCAAACCCAACAAGAAGCCAGAGGGCAGGGAGCCTCAGGATATGGCCAGCATAGAGAGCAGCTTGGAGGAGCGTAGAGGAGGGTCTGGAAGGCAGGAGAGGGAATCCTGCATGCAAGTGGTGTGCCCCCAGGTATGGGGTGGTGACAGAGCTCCTGGCTGCATCTCCCTGTAGGACCAGACAGGGGCATCAACCAGGGGTCAGACCAGGTTCCCCAGCAAGCCTGTTGATCCTGATGGGTAAGCCCTGTAGGACCAATTGGAGAAATTTGCTCTCATAATCAAAAAGTTTCATTGTGAAATATCAGGAGTTGGACAGATCAGGCTTCAAACTGTGGCTCTGCCATTTACCAGCCTCGTGAGTAGAAGTTAATCTCTTTCTACTCTAGCATCTTCATTCACAAGAAGGAGAGGATAACAAAACCTGTTTTTAGGGGCATTAAGTTAAATAATGTGTGCCGAATGCCTAGCATATAATATGCGTTCAATAAATCCTATTGCTGTTTTGATTGTGATACACTGTGATGTATTTACATTGTGATATAATGTAATATAAAACCTTAAGATGATGCTCTCCATGTGGCCTTACACTATGATTTTTTTTTTTATGATAGTCACACAGAGAGAGAGAGAGAGGCAGAGACACAGGCAGAGGGAGAAGCAGGCTCCATGCAGGGAGCCCCATGTGGGACTCGATCCCGGGTCTCCAGGATCACGCCCTGGGCTGAAGACGGCGCTAAACCGCTGAGCCACACAGGCTGCCCACTATGATTTTTTTTTTTTAATGATTTCTCCAAAGAGGTGGAATCTGAGCTGGCCTAGAATGGACAAGGAGTTTTCCAGATGAATGCCACTGAAAGGAAGATCTTTCCTTATCTGCTCCTTGATCACATCACTGTGCTGCTCAAACCCCTGCTATGACTCCCTAGTTCCTACTGTAACAATTCTGAGCCTGTGTGACCTGAGTTCCTCCACCTGTCCACACCATATATTTTTTTAAAGATTTTATTTATTTATTCATAGACACACACACAGAGAGAGAGAGAGAGAGAGAAAGAGAAAGAGGCAGAGGAAGAAGCAGGCTCCATGTAGGAAGCTCGATGTGGGACTCGATCCCGGGTCCCCAGGATCACACCCTGGGCCGCAGGCAGCACTAAACTGCTGCGCCACCAGGGCTGCCCTGTCCACATCATATTTATCCACAGGAAATCTGTGCCCAGGCCCATCTGAGTAGTTCTAGACAGCTGTAAAACCCTTCTCCCTCTGCTGCCCTTACACTCCCATCTTCCCAAATCTGTAAATCCCTCCCACTAATACTTTGAAACTCAAGGAGCCTCCCCTGATCTGTGCAGCACTGCTCCCACACCCACACATCCCCTGTTGGATTGCAGCTCTCTGCGATGACTCTTACTCACCAGCTCTGAGTTCCTGGATGGGGGAGCTCAGAACCCTGGCACATAGCTTTGTGAGCAGTAGGCACTCCATAAATGTTGGTGAAGTGAATAAGCTATTTTTTGAAAATTAATTAATAATTTAACATTTTATTAGTTGTGATAAGTGACAATTTTCTAGAGTCTAATTTTCTCATTGGTAAGAGGGAAAAAATATCTCAGATTATTATGAGGAATTAAATGAGGTCACACATTTAATACTGAAGGCTCATCACAGGGCTCAGTAAGGTGTGTTCCCCCTGACTCCCCTAGGAAATGTAAGTTATCTGAGAGTAGGCCCCCATATTTTCCTAATGTTTCTCAAAAATAAATTTTATTGAGGTACAATTTACATACAATAAAATGCACACATTTTTGTTGGATGTGTTTTGACTGTATATACACACAAAATTACTGCCACAATCAAGATGTAGGACATTTCCATTAGCACATAAGGGTCCCTCATTGAGCCTCTTTCCACTAAACACACTCTCACCCCAGGCTACAGGTAACCGTTTATCTGCTGTCTAACCCAATGGAAAAGATTTCTTTTCCCTAAAGTGTAAATAAAATGGAATTTTGCTGGAGGTACTCCTATTGGATGGGCTTCTTTCACTAACCTCGATGTTTTTAGATTCATCCATGCTGTTGCATTCCTTTTTAACATTTAGCAGTATTCCATTTCATGGGTGTATCACAATTTGTAATTTGTCAATCTGTTCATTTGTTGATGAGCATTTGAACTGTCTCTGGTTTGAGTCTTTAGGAATAACCTTTTATGAACATTTGTGTACAAGTCTTTGTGTGTGGACATGTGTTTTCTTTTCTTTTGGGTAAATACCTAGGAATGGAATTGTGATTTGTATAAGTGTGTATTTCACTTCGTAAGAGACTGCCAAGCTGTTTTTCCAAAGTGGTTGTCACATTTTATGCTCTGGTTGACAACATAGGAGAGTCTAGTTGCTCCAGATCCTTGTCAACATTTGGTGTTGTTGGTCTTAAGTTTTAGCCACTCAGGTGGATGTAGAGTAGCATCTCACTGTAGTGTTAGTTTGCATTTGCCTGGTAAGTAACGACGTTGACCCTCTTTTCATGTGCTTGCTGGCTATTCATGCATTTGCTTTTTTTTTTTTTAAGATTTTATTTATTTATTCATGAGAAACACAAAGAGAGGCAGAGACATAGGCAGAGGTAGAAGCAGGCTCCCTGTGGAGAGCCAGATGCAAGACTTGATCCCAGGACCCCAGGATCATGACCAAAGGCAGATGTTCATCCACTGAGCCACCCAGGTGCTCCATGTATTTGCTTTTGTGAAGGGTCTGTTCAAATCTCTTGTCTATTCCTATGGTTTTGAAACATGCCTCCTACATAAAGCAAAAAAAAAAAAAAAAAAAAAAGCCCAAGTGTCACTTTCCCAGCTTCCCTTGCCACTAGCCTATAGTCATCAAGTCCAGTCTTGACCAATCTGATACACCCAGCCCCAAATGGAGCTGTACATTGTGAGCTGGTGATTGGAACAAGCCAGGCCAGTAGAGTCCATTTTATTTTATTTTTTTTAAAGCATTTTAGTTATTTTTAGTTAAAGAAAAACAGACTTTTCCAAGGGGGACAAAGTGAACTGGTCTGACGGAAGGAAGCATGTGTGTGGGCTGCTCAAAGCTCTTGCTCCAAAATCTGGAGGTGAGGAAAGAAGGTCCTCCCAAGAATTCAAGGGTGAGTGGCCAGCAGAGGGTTGACTTCAATAACTTTGGGCACTAGATCAGTCTAAGTAGGCTCTATGGTGATTTCTACCTGCCAGTTGGTTGACATGATTAACATCATCACTCTTAGGGGCTATTACATTAAGGAATGATGCAGGAAGCCAAGAGAGTGGCTTATTCAGTTGGATTCTGAATCACAATCAGGAAATAGGCTTTATCTGGTACAACCATAATTTCATTTTCCTTGGAGCGAATTCGAAGGAAGGTGAGATCATTCTGGGGGTCAATTTCATGTACAGTGCTCCGGGCATTCAAGATGAAGCTGTGCCTGAGGTTGGCATACTGTGTAGTGGTGGGATGGTCCATGGTGCTCTTGATTGGAATGCCTTCTGTGTTCACCATGATGATGCCCTGTACTCCCTTCTGGCTCTGAAATCGCTTCAGTGTCTCCTCCACCTCTGCCATTTCCAACCGAACCAGTAGCTTCACAACACTGGCACCAAGTAGAGTCCATTTTAGCATTATTGGTAACACTAGCTGCCACGGCATCAGCGACCATGCACATTGGCCAGTGACCTGTATCAAGGGTTAAAGTAAAGCCCAATCCATTGGAATTTTAGGGCCAATTTTTAAGGCCAACTCACACCAGGCCTGTGGCTGACTCTGAACTAGTCTCTGCCAAATCCCGCCTGTGATCCTGGAGCTACCCAACCCCTTTTTAGTGACCTCCTTTCCTGCTTGCAACAGCCATGTCTGCGGAGTCTGTTTCCATCAGGGCACAGCTCTGAGCATAGTAGGTTGATGTGTTGATTTCTGGTGTTCAGGGAGTGTCCAAGATTGTGACTTCCGCGGTGGGAATGAGAATCCATGAATTAGCATGCCATTCGTCACTGCAGCCATTACAGGCTTGGCTTGCTTTCAACTTCTTTGCCAAAGGGCTTGACAATAAAAGACACTGTTGAAAATGAAATCTTATAATTGCCTTTTTTAAGGAGGGCTGTATTCCAAGGCCTGGATCTCCGCCCACATTTGCATTTGGATCTGGGAAACCAATATGGTATGATAAGTACTTATTTTTAATAATCTGATAGCAGCAAATACATTTCCCATTTCCCAAATTCTTTCCCATCACTCACCTTTGTGTCCCTGACAAAAATAAGAACAAGCTAACAAAGATTCAACTAAATTTGCAGCCGTGGTTTTCTCCATCCCTGTCCTTTGGGAATGAATTGTTAGAAGTTTCAAAGTTACAGACTCAGCACCCTGCCTTAAGTACATTTCCGGATTGCACTTCCCAGGGGTTGGTCCTGGTTTTGCAGGATCTGAAGCTTATATGACGTGGGGGATGCTCTTTATGAAGAGAATTCAAAACTACCACAAAAGCGTTAGAAGCAGGTGTTGTAACGTGCCCTTGCAAGGGAAGGGCTTTAAGCCTGAATCTCATTAGCTCCATATATACCTATTCCTTGCTACCGCTGCCATTCTTCAAACAGCAACAAATTCTAGAAGCCATTTGCTTCCTCCCGTGTCACTGGTCTACCAGCAGGTTAAACTGCCACCAGAGCTCTGGGCTTCCTCCACTTTGGATTGATCCCTGAACAACAAGGTATCATCAAGGCCTGGCGAACCAGGGACACAGATTTCCATGCTCTGTGATCAGGGGCAAGCATAAGTTGCACACTTGCAGAAGTATCACAGGGTCACTCTTGCTCATTCTCAGCCAAGACACTGCCATCCTGCCCTCCCTGGTCACGTCTCCATCTAGGAGCACAGGGCTCAGGCAGGTTCTCTCTTAGGCTCCTACGCTATCACCTTTGTGTTTCAGAATAAGTTTTGCCTGTGCAGAAAGAGGTCCTCCAACTGTCTTGTGGCCTTGGATGACATGTCACTCTCCACTTTGCTTATGTTCCATACAGCACAGCCTGACCTATGTGATGTGAGAAGGCAGGAGCTTTACTGAGGACCCTGCCAAACACTGCAGGCAGGGCAGGTAGCTGAACGTATGTGCTACATCCTCACGGCTGCCATGAGAGCAGTGGATGGAGCCTTACCACGTGACCACTCTAAGACTGAGCATTAAGGAAGACAGAGCCAGAGGAAGTTTTACAACATGATCTTACATTCAAGATTGTGTGTGTTTAGCCATAGATATAGTTACAGTGAGGACAACTCTATGTTCCAAAGATGGTTGCAACCTTATCTCCTATCCCACAAGCTCTTTGGCAGTGTGACCTTCTCACTCCCCTGCCAAGGGCTGAGGTGGGTGGGTCTAATTCCCCTGTCCTTGAACTTGGGCTGGCCTTATGACTCACTCTTAACTGACAGAATGGAGAGAAAAGGGTTGTCCATGACTTTGAGGCTCTTGAAACTCTTCCTCTCCAGATGGTTCCTCTTGGGACCTTACTTGCATGAATTAGCAGCCATGCTGTGAGGAAGCCCAAGCCACATGCAAGGCTGTGTTCAGGTGTTCCAGTTGGGCCCAGCCTTCAAGACATCCAAGTCCCAACAGCAGATATGTGAATGGAGAAGCCTCTAGATGATTCTAGTCACCTGTCACTGTTCAAATCTTCCTGGCTGAGGCCTCACACATGTAGAACAAAGAATGTGCCCTGCCTGAATTCCAGGCCCACAGATACCATGAGCTTACTAAAATACTTGTGTTGCAGGGAAGCCCGCGTGACTCAGCGGTTTAGTGCCTCTTTCAGCCCAGGGCCTGATCCTGGAGACCTGGGATCAATCCCATGTCAGGCTCCCTGCATGGAGCCTGCTTCTCCCTCTGCCTGTGTCTCTGCCCCTCTCTCTCTTTCTGTGTGTGTGTGTGTGTGTGTCTCATAAATAAATAAATAAATAAATAAATAAATAAATAAATAAATAAATAAATAAATAAAATAAAAAATAAAATACCTGTGTTGCAAGTCATTTAGCTTAGGATAATTTGTTAGGTAGCAATAGATAATGAGATTATATAGCTATATGTTTGTTCAAGATAATATGAGTAGAGAAGGGATGGACTGAGGCCTATACCAGGCTGTTAACTGTGGTCAGAAATGGGGGAAGACAAAAGAGGGAAGAGATGGGAGGGAAAGAGAGAGAGAGAGAGAGACAGAGAGAGAGAAGATAAGCAAAAGAAACGTTTCCATGATTTAATGTGCTTGTATATGATCCCATTTATGAACTTCTGTGTGTTGATGTATAAATGTTTAAAGAGATACCTGAAAAGATGGTCTCCAAAATGTCAGTGATAGGATTTAGGTGATTTTTCTTCCCTATAATTGTCTATATTGTTGCAATTTCTTTGACAATTACCAGGCATTTGTATATAATCAGAAAACAAAACAAGCATATTTTTACTAGAAAAAAAAATTTATTTAAGCAATCCTGGCTGAGGGAAGTGTCATACTGCAATGAGTTAGCCATCCTCTTAGTTGACCATTTCCTGGGCCAGGGCCCCCAGTCTGGTCTTCTGGGCCTCTGCAGTGGCCTGCAGGGATGTGGCCTTCTGGGGTAGCCTCCATCCCCCTCCCCCCCACAGTCTTGCCCCTCCCGGATCCTCTGTGAGTCCCAACATTTGCCTGCCCAGACAGTATCCTATTGAGGGTGATGACAACCGCTATGACCCTTACCCTCCAACAGGACCTGCTTTTCTTTCCACAAATAGTAGCAGCAGTGAGAGGAAGCAGGGGTTGAAGGCCTGTCTTTGTATCGACACCTGCTACTGGATTTTTTAAACAGCTTTCCTGAGATATAAATTCATATATTCTGCAGTACACACTTAAGATAGACAAATCAATGATTTGTAGTATATTAAATTAAAATTTTTAAATTGTGATAAAATACAGATCACATAAAGTTTGCCATTTTAATCATTTGTGGTGTGTAATTCGATGGCATCAAGTATATTCACAATGCTGTGCAATCATCACCATTATTTATTTCCAAAACTTTTTCCTCACTCCAGACAGAAACTTTGTACCCTTTAACCAATAACTTCCCATTTCCCTCCATCCCCCAGTCCCTGGTAACCTCTAAACTACTTTCCACCTCTATGAACTTGCCCATTCCAGATATTTCACATGAGCAGAATCATAGGGTATGTGGTCTTTTGTGTCTGGCTTCTTTTACTTGGTGTAACATCTTCTAGGTTCATTTATGCTGTGGCTCTGGTCAGTACTCTATTAATTTCTATGGCCAAATCGCATCCAGTTGTATGGATGGACTCCACTGCATTTATCCATCCCTCCATCCATTGAGTTGCTCTGTCTTTTCTGCCACTGGCTTTTTCGAGTCCCAAAAGTGTGTTTCTCCTTTCAGGTATGGAACACGTTTACCTTGATCGGGACCCAGACTCTGTCCTGGGGATATTTCAGGTCTGGAGTAGGAGGTGGGGCGAGTAGGAACAGCTGTGGATAGAGGTGGTGGATCATGGGTAGCTGGCCCACGCCTGTGAGTGTGGCCCCTGGTTGTAGCCCGTGGCTAACACAGATTCTGGGTCATTCTCTACAGTCTAACCTGGCCTAATTCCTCACCCTCTCTGGAACTCAGTTTCTCATAAATACCGCCATGTGGGCTACTGAAATGGGCAGCACTTAGCCCAGTGCTGGTCCATGATGAGCTCACGATGCACAGCAGCCATGGCAGCAAGGCCACCTTGCAGCTGGTACCTTCCACCTGCATCCTTCTACCATCTGTATTGCTCTGCCTGTGGCTTTCCTGGCAGCCAGAGCCTGCTCTGATGATGCCCATGGCATAACGGATGGAGCAGGGAAATATAGCCATCCCCTTTTCCAACAGCCACCCGCTAATCATGTGTAAATGCCAGCTCTCTCGCACTTGGATGGGGTTATCCGGTGCATTTTCCCTAGTGCTTCCCAGAGTACCCAGTGAAGCTCCAGTTGTCCATGGGGAAGTCTGGCTTGGCACCACACCCTCTGTGGGCTGCCTTCTCTTCCCTGTCTCACTTCCCCTCTCTTTTACCAGTCCTCCCTGGGCTTCCTGAATAAACCACATGCGCTTCAATCCTTGTCTCAGGGTCTGTTTCTAGGCAAAATTCAAATTAAGACCCTCATCATACGAGTAGAAGTAGTAGCAGGAGTAGCAGCAGCAGCAGCAGGAGGGGTAATAATAAATAGGGTCCCATCTCATCCTCCACTTCCTCCAGGAAGCTTCCCTTGGCTGGACCCCCCACAGGGACCACCCTTTCCTACAAAGTTCCAGCAGTTGTGGCTCTAGCCTTCATTTCTCTCTTCAGCACATCCACCTTATTTTATTCCACATCTCATCAGCTGCATGTAGAAAATTCTAATTTTGTGGGCTGGCCCAGGGGGCCGACAACCACATGCTCTGAATCTGTGATGAAGCCATCCAGCCTTTGATGGAGACAGAAGATGAAACGTGGCTGGGGCGCATCCCGGGGAGATGGGGCCCGGCATGCAATATTTAAACGGCCCTTTCATGAAAGGGAGCTA